GAAGGGACTTGACAGCATATTCATCAGTCTCATAGAAGAGCATTTACTGAATTTTTATCTAAGTTAATTATTCCTTAACCTATAAAAGTAGTATTTCATTGTTATCAGTAGACAACAGTGTCTTTGGCTTAATATCAAAATATTTTCTGATATTTTATAATATTTCTGATGTTTTATAATACCTTTTCATAATTTGCAACAAAATAATTTGTCATAGAAAAAGAAAAAGCCCTTCTCAGCCTCTGTGAGTTCTCTTCTCATTGAGAAACTTTTACCAGAGTAGAAAGGAATTGACCCTCATAATTTACAGTTGAGGGGTCCACCAGATCAGCTCAACTGTTTCTGCAGAATTTGACATCAAAATTTTATTTTTCAAACCTCAGGGGCTTCATGTGTTGTTTGCTTCACATTTGTTTTCCCCAGTATTTTTCATGAGTGTCAGTGTATTCCTCTGACCCACCAAGTTTTATGCATCATACTTTCTTTGCCTTAACAGCTACCTCATTGCAAGTTATACAGAAATCCCACAGAAATGCCACAAGCCATTAAAATGTAAAGTTAGATTAGACTTCAATGTGCATCAGAAATACACTAAATAAGTAAATAAACAAAATTAAATGCAGATATTCACCAGAGAAATGAAGCTTTGGAAAATTCTTCCCCCATACTATTGTTTCCCCACTTCTGTGGTTACAGTGGTTAAGAGTGCAGCTGGGGAGGTAACTGTGGATGGGGAAGGCAACTGACTCCCTACATGTGGCTGCCCAGATGTGCTACTCTCTCAGGGATGCAGTGCCTGTCTCTGAGCCTCCTATATGGCATTAATCTATCCTGAATGGTGATAAGGAAGCACACTGACTAATATCATTCACTAGCACGCTGATTCATTCATTCCATGTTATGATTGAGTGCCTTCTTGATTCTTAAGTACTGTGTTTAACAACACACATACACACCGTAAGTCACAGTTCTCTCTGCAAGAGTACTTAGAAGCCCAAAGGGGAGTCAGATCAGATAATGCCAAATCAATGTGGTGAATAGAGGTAAGCCCAAGGTGTTACAGGATTCCTCCATTAACCCTGATACACACATAAAATTTATTATGCCACAACCCTGATTAAAATCCTTTCACGTATTCCCTGAAGACTAAATCAAAACTTCTGAGACTGGCCTGTCAAATGCTTAACCATTGCTCCCCACCAGTTCTCTTAAGTACCATCTTAGCCACTGCTCAGCAGACTCTCTGCCTGTGGATGGCTTCCACTGAACCACCTGTTGAATGAACCAGCACTCTTCATTCTCTCTGTGAGGTACAGTAACACCTCCGCTGAGACTTGGCTGCTAGCAGGTTATCTTCTAGTGAAACATAAACTCACCCATGTCAGTCCTGCGTGTTTCAGACTTCTGTAGGCCAACTGGACTTGTTACTGTGATTGTATTATAAGGCTGATGAAGTTTGAGTATGCAAAGAAAGACTCATGTGGATCTATGAGAGCTATCTTCAATGGTTTGAAAAAAACCTGACAAAGGCACGTTTGTCATGGAAGAATGCTGCCACAGGGCTGAAAACATGATGGCATGAGACAGGGCTGTTGAATACCTTTAAAGAGTTGAAATAATTAGAAGTTAAAAAATTAGAAAATTAATTTTAAATTTAATTAATTTTAAATTTAAATTTAATTCAAATTTATTTTAAATTTAATTTAAAAAATTAAATAATTTTGAAAAATTAAATACCTTTACAAAGTTAAGCATCTACAATTAGTCTTTTTTTTTTTTTTTTAAGTGTTTGAAGGTCCTTATCCATCTTAAAGAAGGCAAAATTGGAAAGAGTAGATGATGTGCTGCCGTGTGCTTTACCCAAGAAAGATGATGTGGAGCTACGGTCAACAACCCACAACCCAAAGGAGCAGCTTTGGTCTTGTTACAGATGAGTGCTGAATGGGCATACAGTCAGATGTTTTTAATTAAAATAAAGTGTTCCAGGCAGCAATGTATTACTTTTTTTAAAAGTGCCCTTTTGGGAAAAACCAACACCTTACTGTTTACACTGGAGGCAGACAGGGAGGCATCACCTATTGTATCTATACCTCCCCCAACGTCCCATGTTCTGTCACAGCTCCATGACTTTGAGCAGCTTTCTCTGCCAGGAAACATCCTCCGGGTTCTTGTATCTCTGTCACATTCCTGCTTCCACAGCATTGCCACATCAAGTGTGATTTCCTTCACATTGTTGCTCCTGGTTTGTTTGTTTTCCTTCCTCAGCCAGTGACAGCAATTCATTCCTATATTTGGAGACAACCCCAATCTACGAGGCACAGCCTCTTACTACAGAACATGCAAACACAAGCTCTTCTCTTCTCTGCTTCCCATTGCTTGAGCCCAGGCACCTGAGCTAGGTAGGCATTGTTACACCTAACTGCAGACTCCAGGGACGTGAAGCTGCCAGACATGGCGGTCAGGTCTACTCTGGGGTTGGTGGTGGTGGTGGAGGAGACTGACTTCCGTTTTTGAAGGTGTCTGTGCTAGAGGGAAGGGACGACTATGTGAACTCCATGTTTGGTTCTTCGATCCTCTCAGATATTCTGGGATGACTCTAGTAGCCTTTTTTAATTCATTGTCTGACAGATCAGCCTACATTTGTTTTTATTGCTTCAACTGAGAATCCTGGTGATACCAGGCCTTCAAGTATGTGATGTGACATTGTAACTGTTCCTGTGTGTCTTTGGCCCCCGGTGATGGTGAAATGGAAACAGGGCATCCCATCTCTGTAACTCCAGTGCATAGCACAGGACAAAGTAATGTAAAACAGATACTCAACAAACTGTTGTTAATTCCTTAATTTGTGAATTCATTGCTTAATTATCGAGTGAGTTTCCCCCAGAGATCCAAATATAAAATAACAGCAAATGACACCAGAATGTGTTCAGTGGCTGAGGAGAACTGTGGCCCATTCTGTCCCTTTTTCCTCACAGAAGACAAGCACAGGCATAGAGAGTTCCATAGCATTTAATTAAATATGAGATGGTAACACACACTGGATACTTAGATACTTAGCAGCTCTGTAAAATGTTTGTAATGCCCATGGGAAGTATGTGGTCCAATCAGACACCTTTACTGTAGTGAATGCTGGAGTGTTTTTAGAACAACCCCAAAGAAAAACCACTGAGCTGACACAAAAGCCATCTGATCTGTACCATTCTAGTTGTCTTACCACATATCCTCACCACCTTCCTGGCCAGTTCCATCGTATAGCGCCTCCAGAAGTGTTATGAAACACATGTATGCACATCTGAAATAGCCTATCCTTGGCTTTTCTGAAGCCAGTTTCCATGGAAACCAGAAGGACAGGTGAGGCAAAAGCTAGTGGAAAATCAGTTGAATAAGCCAAGGCTCCCTAGATCCAGCCAGGATTGTTTAATTGACCAAATGAGCTGCCTGTCAAAACAGCAATCATTTCATGCTATACAGAACTAGCAGTTTACATCTCTGCCTTCTGCATTGTCTTTCATCAGCTTTTCTCTCTTAATGAAATCTGAAAGGAGGTCAGTCAGAACCAACTTGTAATCTGATATTATACATTATCCCTGAGTATAAAATCACACATTAGCAGCAGTTATGATTATAAGAGGATAATACAATGATTTTAAATCTCTCCAGTAAAAGACAGACACTCACACACAATCTTCAAATGATAATCTGTGCCCAACAATACTGAAACACGGGATTTTAGAGCTGGAGCGACTTGGATCTTCCTCTAGACTTATGCTCTCATTTCTTTGAGAGATTGTCTATTATGTCAGGGAAACAAACTTCTGGCTTTAAGTCCTGACTTCACACCTCAGATGGAATGACTTACTTGTCCTTTCTGTCTCCCAATTTTCCCCTAAGTCAAAGCTAACAACACACTTCATAGGACCTCTGTGGATAAGGTACCAGAGAACTAGGCTGATATAAAGTTTCCTGTGATGACCTCCTCTTTGAGATCTGGTTCTCATTTCTACAAAAGGTAAAGTACACATGTCTACCTGGTGGAAAATGTCTTCTGCTGTTGACACACCGGCCAGATTCTGCTTTTCCTCCATGTAGACATAGCATTTTCTCTGATTGTCTTCAACAGGGCACTTTGAATGAACATGCCTCTACTAAAGCACTTTATGTGATTATAATCATTTGTTTACAAAGCTGCCACTTTTATTAGATTACCCACTTTATGAGGCCCCCGACTTTATTAGTCTTCGATTCCTCGCGCCCAGCCCTGCGGTTGGCATATAGCAGACTTTCCATAAACACTTGTCAAGGAAATGAAAGGGATAATGCTTATGGAATTGCTTTGAAAAATCACAAAAACACGAAGCAAATCTAAGGGAAGGCGAGATTATATTCTTCACTACTGATTCAGAGAAAAGCATTTGTAAAGTATAATGCCCAATGAAAGAATAAATGATCTTACTATAATTAGGCTGCTAAGCCAGCAAATAAGATCTGTTAGACAGAATTTAAAACCCCCTTCCCAGATATCACAAAACAAAACAAATAAAGAGATTTAAAACACATCACCTCTTCAACAAACTAAAAACAGAAAAAAAAAAAAGATATGAAATACCAACCCCAACAACAGCAGGGACAAACTCCTGGACAAAACCAAACCAAATCCTGAACCCATGCCCTTCATGACTTCCTGTGCCTCAGCTGCCCTGTGTGATTCTTCAGGTGCCCAGGGGCTGGGGGCCTGTGGGAGAGACCTCCCCTGCACTCCCCTGGGTTGCGATTACTTAGCTGTCTTAACCCGGTTTGAGATAATAACCAGAAATTCATCTAGACCAAGAAAGGCAAGGGGACACATGTCAAATCTTCTTTATCTTCAAGACCAGGGCCAAGTCAGCTCACTCACTGTGTATGTTTACAGTTCTCCTTGAAGCTTGTGGCAGCATCTAAGGCCGTAAAACTCAGGACAGTCTGTAGATGCGTTTGGGTTGGGGCAGTCTCTACACACATAGAAAGGTTATTCTTGGTTTATTGCTCAAATGCACCTGTATCCAGAGCTGGTAACAGATTCTTCTGTTGTCAATGGATGCAGCTGGGTGGTGGTAGCAAGAGAATCATGTGTTTGATAACTAATAGTAGAAATTTTGGGCTTCTCCTTTTTCAGAAAAACAAAGTCAAGTGGCATTTGTGGCTTTTTCTTGCCTTATTTGGTTTTCATAGACGTGGCTAGCCATGGTAGTTCACATACTACATCACCCTTTCTTTCTCTTAGCCTTTTTTTTTTTTTTTTTTTTGGTGGCCTTGTCCCCATGTGTCTGGGAAACTCCTGGCTTATGCTGCTTGTCCTGGAATGAGTATTTATAACTTCCCCTTTCACTTTCAAAATGACCCAATTTGGACAATAAATTATATAGTAATCCTGTTCCATATTATTGAAGTCTGGCACTTGTAAATGGAACGACCCCTAATCAAGGAGAAGGTACATGGCTTGAGGGGCGGTGGGCACGGTTAGATGCCAACCATCAGACCCTATGCTGAGGGGGAACAAAATGGACAAGTTACTTAAGGCCTCCAAGCCTCAGTTGCATTATCCATTAGAAAAGAGAATAATAATAATAATAACAATAAAAATTGAGCCAGTGCCCGGGATTACCATGAGGATGCAGGGAGACAAGATGTGTAGAGCACAGGACACACAGTGAGTCCTAGTAATGGAAGATATCATCCATGTTCTCCTTTCCCTCTGTCTGCCCTTGCCTTCTTCCTGCCGTACACCCCCCTTTCCCCTCTCCTCTACCCTTTCTTTCATTCTTTCCTGCTTCTTTTTCTTTCTGAAATAATGGAATAATTTGTGTTGCCTGCAGCAGAGTGCTCCTGCCTCAAACCAAATGATCTTGGAGTGGGGAAGAGTGGCCCAAGCTATGTTTCTGAATCCTGTAGATTATACAGAGGGCTGGCATTAATTTTGTCTTCTTTGTCCTAGGAGGGAAAGTAAGTAGGAGTTCAGTCATCTTGGTCTTCATGGTTCCAGTCCTGCATTTCTGACAATTCACTGGTTTTGGTAGAAGCTGGACATGGTGACATATGCTTCTTCCTGACTTGATCCCAAGGAAGTGAGCCCAGGCTGTCCCCGGACAGCTGGGTTCAGTGTCAGGATTCCTGGCTGGAAAGGAAATGGAGTGGGCATGGTGCTATTTGTAGTTCCAGACCCAAGCAGCAGGCCCTGGTACATATGAGGCCCATTCTTGCCACCTTCCCTGTAGTCTGGGGACCTGGAAGAAGGTTGCACAAGAGCCTCACACATACTGATGCTTCCAGCCAGGCTTCCGAAGGGTGAATCTCCTCTGAAGGTTTTTGGGGTGATGACTGCATGCTCTGATGGCCAGGTGGGGCCCTGCATACCCCCTCGAAGCCTTTGCTTTTCAGTCTCATCGAGTTGTGGAGAAGAAGTGTCTTGCAGAAAGCTCTCTGCTTCATCTCTAGCTTGAATGCCATCCACCTTATGAATCTGGCAGTCCAGGAAGCTTTCAGGGTTGAAACTCACATTCAAATTCTGCACCAAAAAAGAGAGAAGGCATGGAGAGTGCTCCAAAGGGACACACAAGCAAAGGTTCAGTTCATGGAAGGATGTAAAGAACTTTCTGACAGGGGTCTACCAGAGAATGTTAGAGAACTACCCACACGTTCTAGTTGACTCTGCCTCTGGAAACGCTCTGACACATCAAGGTCTAAAGGGACTGGCTATGTCCTCCACCATGGGAGACTTCTGAGACTATTATCTCATTTTAGTTTCCTACCTCTAGGGTGGTACAGCCAGGATCTCATGAAGGACCCTAGTCATGGGATGCACAAAAGACCAAAACTTGTTGTTCAACTATTCTCTATCCTGCAATATCATTCTTGGGTACTGGGATGCCTCTAACATTGTGGTAGAAGCGCCAGAAGCCCTCACCTTTTTGGGTTTCTTGCAAAGTTGTTCCAGAGTCTTCTTATGATCGGGGAGGCTGGGCCACACAATGGGTTTAATTCTGAAATGAAAGAACATTGAGAGAGAGGAAATGAATGGTGTGGGAGCATGCACAGTAGGTCTTTCCATTCATTCTGAACCAGAAATCAGAAGAGCGGATTTCTAGTCTTGGCTCTGCTACAACTAGGTGGGTGAGATTGCATAAGTGACTTGTTTTCCTGGACCTCAGTGTCCTGTCAATTCACAGAGGGGTCATTGTCAGTCATCTCTGTGAACACCGTGGGGAGAGAGCCCTGGGAAAGAGGAACAGTGAAGTTTGGCAATGGTGTAGCTATGAAGCCAACATTCACACTGTTCATCTACTCCTAATACAGGTGTCATCATCTTATTCCTCCTCTCTACTGGCAGTGACTCCTCTGCTCTTGTTCTGGTGGAGATGAGGAATATTTTCTAAGTCACCCAGGGAAATTGCTCTAAGTTGTTCTTTTTCAAGTTGGAGTCTTATGAGAATACATGGCTCTGTGCTGTGGGTAGCTTTCTAGAACATTAATAACTTGAAGGTATGTGCCAAAAACATCATTTTTATAATGAAGCCAACATGGCTCTGTCATGGGGTAGAATGCAAAGTCATATGACTTTATGACCCATAAAGTCATGTGCTGAAATTCAAGCTTTCAAATACATTCTTCATTTTCCCTGGGTACCCCAAGCCACCCAGACATTTTGGAGGCATACTTTCTATTCTGTTAGGAGAAAAAGTTTGGGAGGAGGGTTTGCCCTATGTCAAATTTACATATTTTCATCCCTTATGAAATTAACAGTTGAAATTCACCAGTGCCCCCGGCTGGGGAGGAATATGGGCACTGTAATTCCAGAAATGCCTTATTCCCCTTTGTAGTTTTTTCATCAATAAATAGGGTTAGAGCTCCAACTGTCTGGGACCCCATGTAACCATCCTCTTTATTAAAGTTCACCTTTTTTTCCATAATGCACAGGCCAAGATGACCATCAGAGCCACAAAGAAGAAACTCAGAATGCTAATAGTTAGTAAAACAGGATCCATCCTCCCTGGAATGCAAGGATAGATCTTGGTTAGCAATCATTAACCACGTAGTAGGGGAAGCTTTCAGGGTGCTTTGAATTTATTTAGTAACTTAGGCCCATCTGTTATTTCTTCAAAGTTACTTTTCAGTGAAAAGGATGATGTACTAGATTTATAAACTAAGAGTTTTGGTTTCAGTAAGTGGCACTGAACTGGGTGACCAGGTCTAGAACATCTATCACTTGAAATATAAAAGTGACAGGCATTAAGCTGCCAGAACTCTCTCCCAACTCCCACCACCAAGAGAAGGAAGCCCTGTAGGAGAATGATGAGGTGGATTCTCTATCCTGAAGACTTGGCAAATTCCAGTCTGAGAATGGGAGTCTGGGATGGCAGAACAGTTCCCCTCATACCTCAAAGATAAGATATGTGTGCAGTGTTTTTGTTCCTCAGGGGCTTGCCTGAGCCATGTTCTTTGTTTTTTCTGGCCATTCTTGCTTCCTAGACCATGTGGGTATCTTTGCTATTCTGAAAAAGGCATGGAAGAGCAGCATTTGGTTGCCCGTCTTCCATCACCACAGGTGTTCCCTAGAGGCACTTTACAGAGACCAGCCATTGGAATTCCAGTCTAAATTGGTAAAGTGGAGGTAGTAGATGGGCATTTTCTTCAGAATTAGCATCTCCCAAGAGCATCTAGGTCAGTAGAGTCATTGATGATACCAGTAGAGTCATTTGATCAACAACTAAGGACCTTGCACCCACCACTTCCTTGTTCTTCATCAAAGGGGCAAAGATGGCAGGTCATTCTATAAAACTGTAAGAATGCCCTCAGGGGAGTCCTAACTTGTGGGTTCATTTAGCCTCTCTGGCTCTCACTCCTGCTCACACACTTTGACATGCAAAGCCCTATGAAGGGCACAAAGATTCTGCAGTCATTTCCCACCTGTGATCTCTGGTGTTCTGAAGTGGAAGGTTGGACTCCATTCACTCCAGAAGCCTTGAAAATAGTTGGCATTAGGGATGGACCGGACTTTAATCTCATACATTGCATCAGGTTGTAGTTTTCTCTGTAGGAGTGTCAGCTTTGTACTGGATATGTTCACATGCTAAAGAACAAAGTACGCCATTACATGTCTAGGATTGAAAAAGAAGTGCTACCCAGATCCCCCGAATCATTTCAAGTTGAGTGTCTTCAGTCACATGGATACTCTCATTAGGAAAAGAAGCTATGACATGGGGAGGACCATGTGTGAGCTCCTAAATGATGCTACCAGGGGCCAAGGAGGGCAACAGTACCATAAGTCTTTGTTCAGGTGAGCTGGGCTCTCCACTCCAGGAGGATATAAATCACTCCCAGTCTCCCACCTTCCTTTCTATACTTTAATTTCTTTTTTCCCCTTTTCCCCCATTTCACATTCCAAAAGGAAATAAAAGGGAGTGGTAAGGTTAGTGAGCAGGAATAATTTCTCTCTAGAAAATATACCACTCTATATTGTAAATAGCAATATAGAGACAATAGTATCTTCAAAAATGTGCATTACCCTTAAGGAAAAAAAAATCTTTCAATTTGATCAATAAAAAGTTAATATTCCATTGTTAATTACACTTATACTTATTCAATTATTAGTTTTCATGTATTTATTGAATTTACATATTTCTAATTTATGAGACATTTCCAAGTTTCTTGCTAATTTTTCTATTCTACATTTGTCCTTTTCTTAATGATTTATAAGACCTCTTTATATAGGAAAGATATTAACCATCTGTCAGTTGTATATGTGGCAATTTAATCCTAATTTCTAATTTCTAATTTGCCTAATGACTTTGATTATTTTATGTGCTGACATTTATAAGCCTTTATTTTTATGTAGTCACGTGTATCAATCTTTTGCCTTTTTTTACTGCTTTTATGCTTAGAATATTCTTCTTCACCTCAAGATTATATAAACATTTACCTATATTTTCCCTACCTTGTTTATAGTTTCACTTTTATATAATTTCCTTACGTCATCTTTTTATTTTATTTATTTTTATATGGAGCAAGTTAAACATTTAACTTGGGTTTTTTGGCAAGTAGCAAACTGACTGTCCTACTCTCATTTATTCAAGATCCTTCCTTTCTTCACTATAGTTGTTTTTCCACTGGTGCATTTTCAGATGAAGGTTCAAGAGGGCAGGATCAAGGTAGCCTAGTTTGTGGGATGGATGGGTAGAAAGAAAGAGAAGGCTGTTTAGGGCAGACATTACATTTAATATAAGTACTGTAGAGCAATATGTTGTGGAAAAAGAAGGCTAATCCTGGCCCGAAAAAAGGGAAGAGTATGGGTAAGTAGACACTCTTCACCTTGAGAAGGAGAAGCCATCATTTGGTTTTTGTCCATGTGGTACAAAAAAGACAGAAGTTAAGCCAGTAGGCTAAGAGAAACCTGAAAATCTGGGACACTCTACTTTTCTCCCGTCTTTTCCTCAAGACAAATTTCAGGGATAGCTAGACCATTCCAACAACAGTAACTCATAGAGTCTAAGTAATCCTTCAAATTATGATACAAATGAATCTTGTTACTAAGCAGATGAAGAACTCTGGCTTTTAAAAAAATGAAAAATATCCCACTTGCTTCCTTACTTCAGGCTGATTCCACAACTCCTGTGACCCAGACTGTGGCTATGACTTGGTCATGATTTTTGTCTGATTTACCTGTGAGAGTTGTGTACTTTTGAGACCCCCAAATAAAGAGGATCAATTATGTCTTAATCTGTATTGTTAATTCAACAGCCTAATTTAGAAACTTTAATAAAAGAAAAAATAGAGCAAGAAAAAAAAAATAGAGCTAGAATGGGATGGCCCTGAGAAGACCTAGGTTTTGTGGAAACTGAAGCTTCTTTCAGGAAAAGGTACATTTTGTTTTTTAAGGATTTTATGTATTTATTTGACAGAGAGCGATACAGCGAGAGAGGGAACACAGGGAAGGGGAGTAGGAGAGGGAGAAGCAGATTTCCCGCCCAGCAGGGAGCCCGACCTGAGCTGAAGGCAGATGGTTAATAACTGAGCCATGCAGACTCCCCAAGAAAAGGTATATTTTGACCACAAAATTGCTAGGGGCCCTCTCCAGGTAAATTCACCTCTGGGACAATGAAATTTATAACATTAAGAGGTTTTTATTTTAGAGTTTCATGTAAGTGTTTTAAATTTTGTGTATTTTATGTAAATTTACTTATGAAGTATATTTATATATACATCTTTATGAATGTTGTAATGGATAAATGTGGGTAATCTACATACCATCCAGTCATTTTCATTTTTTTCCTGGCGATAGGCCACTTCATGCATTAATTCTTTCACATACTTCTTCTGTGAATGAGATGTGTTAAATGTCACCAGAAAGTCATTTGCTCCCTCGCGATAGATGACTCTTATGTCAAAAGGAGCCTCAGGTTTAACTGGAAAGGAAAAAGAAAGGAGGTCAATCTATAGGGCAGTCAAGAAAATAATTTTACTTTTTAAAATTCATCTACTCTGAAAATCACATTCTTTTTCTGAGTCAGTAACTGGGCAACTGTTGAGAAAACCGTTTCTTCTTCTTCCTGATTCACAGCCTGACTACACTTTTCAGCCTCCCCAGCAGCTGGGTGTGGTCTTGTGAGCAATGTGGGTGGAAGTGATGTGCACCATCTCCCATCCTGGCCCAGGAACCTTACATGTATGGCCCTATGCTTATTCCCTTTTTAACACTTGGAGACATATGTTGAAGACAATGGAACCACAGAATGAAGGAACTCTGAATATTGCTTGGAGGAGCACCAACCACAGATTGGAAATACCTATTTTGGTTCTTATGTGAGCAAATAATAAACTTTTGGTGTTTGGGATGTTGTATGTTTTAGGGCTTATTTGTTATAGCAGCTAGTGCCAATTCTTCACTAAAACATATTCTCTTTGCCTTTTGAATACTAGAGAACTTGCTAATAACTAGCCCCCAAATAGGAGTATTTGAACTTTGAGTCCTCGTTATTCCAATAAAATCAGATTGTAAGCTGGGAGACTTGCACATCTCAGCTATAAGAATTTGAGGGTCTGCCTACTGGCCCTAAGCTCATAACTTCCAGTGTGACTTCAGTCTAGTTTGTATTGGCTCTAAATTCTTCTCTGGTCTCTTCCTTCTGCCTGCTTGCCATGCAAAGTTCCTCTTAGGATCATATGCACCATATATGAAATGCTATTGAGGGAGATAGGTTTTACTCTAGGCAAAATGATCCCAGAGAAATGTACTAAATTCCTTAAAAAGCATGCGTGTCACGTGGCCTCTCCTCTATTGTCCAGGGGCTTTCCTGTCTTGGGTTCTTAGCTACTCTATCGCCAAAGCCTGGGATGTTAGTTGTCTAAAGATGGGACAGCCACTTTTTTGCATGGCTGATCTCAGACAGAGATGGGGAGCACATAGGCTAAAATCTAAGCTAAACCTATTGTTAATGAGAGAGTATGTGTTCATCAAACTCTTATACTCAGTAGACTGATCTGGAGTCTAAGCTACCTGATTTGGGCTTTAAGACCGACTTGCTGACCAAGTAAAGTGAACTCATGTGGTGGAATTTGGCTCACTTACTGTAGTCACTTGCTCATAGTGGTAACCACCTAAGATTTTCCTGCATCGCCCCAGAGATCCTGAAAAAGAGGAAGTGTCTCCTTTGCCCTTCGATGTCTTGTCAAAGAGGAAGTTTATTCTTTTTTACTCTTAGATGCACTATAGAAAGGGAAGGTGCCCAGGGGGAACAAGGGGAAAGGCAGGTGGGTATAAAGAAACAGACCAACAGAGAATATTGTCAACATTTTCACGTGCCAAGTCAGTTCCTACTCTTCATTCAAGAGAATAATTAAGATTCACCTTCTCAGTGAAACCTCTGACACTGAATTCCTTGCCTCATTCCCATCTCCCAAGGACTCCCAATAAGGGAAGAACAGACTTATATTGATTATACACCTACTAAGCACCAAGTGCTTTAGTTACACAAGCTTCCACCAACAATCCCTTATTACCACTATACTGATGAGGAAACTGAGTCTCAGAGAGATTAAGTAAGTTCAGGCTTCTATAAAATGGTTTGCTAGTATTTAAAGCCAATTCTGTCTGATTCTGAGGCTTGATCTTCTCTAGCTTTTGTTTCTGTGCTCCATTATCTCATACTGGCTTGCCAGGTGTCCTCCAAATAAGTCTGTCTCTGGTCCAAAGGGTGCCTTTGAGCATATTAGAAAAAGTAGCTCATTTCTCAAGCAATATTTTTATAAGTTAATTTATTCTGGAAACAATCTGAACAATAACAGATTTACCCCACCAAGACTAATGGGAATGGAGGAAGTTACCCCTCTAGCCTTATCAGAGGGCCCAAACCTAAAGAAGGGGAAGTATGTGAGGGCCAGGTGGTTGCAGGGGAACTCTGGTCAAGGGCTCAATCAGGGACTTCCAGTTTAAATTCAATTCAGTGACAGTTCTGCCAATGAAATATAACTTTAAGAACCAGAAGAAGGTACTACTGAGTAATATGCCTCCACTATCTCTCATCCTGGTTGCTTAAGGGTGCTTTCTAAAACCCCAAGAGGTTCCTAACTCCCACTTCGCAGGGGCACATGCTACCAGATGTAAGCACTACTGCTTTTTTCCCTTGGTCCCTCAGATGTGGTTTTTTAGATTTGTTTCTGCTGGGGTATAGAAATTGGGCCTCTGAGAGAACTGGGTATGATTTGGGGATTCAGATGGACAGGGTGCCACCTGGAGTCTATAAAATGCCAGGAGTCTGTCAGAAGACTGAGAATCTTTGCCCTTTCTACCTGCTCTCAGAGAAGTGAGAGATACATATTTGCAATTATGTGTGTGTGTGTGTGTGTGTGTGTGTATCTATCTATCTATCTATCTATCTATCTATCTATCTATCTATTTGCAATTCCAGTGATGAACCTGTAGATATTATGCTCTTGCACAGTGCACAAACTGACCATCCATCCATGACAGCCTAGTCTACAAATGACAAAACTCAACTTTCTTGTGTCCCATACTCATAATTACCTTGTTGTTATTATCTCCTTAGCTTTCACATAGGTTGTGGCCTATGTTGCTGTGTGGCCAACATGCACAACCCTCTGCCTAATGTGTCTTTTTCACTATCTCTGCCTTTTTTCTGGGTAATTTTTTACAGATAGAACTTCTGCTTTTACTCTATATTTTACCAGTTTAGTGAGGCAAAGCTGAGATAGATTTAAAGTTTCTCACCTCCTTGTTGTCTCTAATGAATACTGCTCTCTTACCTTTAATTTTCTTTTTGGGCGCCAAAGAAGGGGTCAAAAATAGGGAGAGAAAGTGAACCATAGTATTAAAAGCCAGCAAAAGAATGCACCTCTTTAATCACTTTGTCCAGTTTCCTCCTTGTGTATATTGTTTTATCTAATCTCCATAGGTAGAATAAATATGAGTAATTATTATTCCATTGCACTGATGCACTGTAATAGGTTTAGACATTCTCCTACACCAAAGTCATCTGAGGTTTTGAAAATAACTTTATTTTTTTCCCATTACTTACAGATTACGACACTGAATCAGTGATTTCACATATCCCTAAATGGCAACCATACCCCTATATACAACTTCTTACCTATTTTGACTATGTTCAATTTCTTGGAAGTTATGTTCTTTCCTCCAAGTTTCACATGTATTAGGCTGTCTCCAATGAGTAAGAATTTCTTTGTCTTAATGAAATACATCTCATGCAGTTTATCAAAAGTCAGGCATTTTACATTCAAAAGGGCTCCACTGTAGAAACAAAAAGTGAATCTATCTTAAATCAAGTCAGAGTCTCTGTATACAATAGAGTAGCATTACATGGATATTTCAGTTGTGTGACTTCAACTTTGTCCATAGGTATGTAGATGCATAGATGCTTATGATAGAGAGAGAGAGAGAGAAATAAATAATGTGGCATCTTGCTATTGTCATACCTAGTGATATACTGAATCTGAAACAGTCAAAGCATGTTCATGAAAAAGATGGAAAATTCCTATTTTTAAACAATCAATCATTGAAAAACAAATACTTGTTTAGGTGAGAAGGTAATTGCTCTTTTTGATATCCTGCAGAAATAAATTGACAAAATAAAACCTGTAAAGAAACATTGTCCCCAGAAAACTTAAAGGAAATGATACAATAGTCCAAAGAATTGTATACATAAAACCATACATACTTAATGGGCAATTTAGGGGTTTTCAAAGGTAATTTTGACTGTGCTCCACTTTTACCTAATCAACAGACTTTAAAATCAACCCTTCTTCCCATGTTCCCTAGCTTAACACACAGTAGCCATGCTCTAGGAATTGAACTCTGTCACTTCCTCTTCCCAATTTAGATCAGATTTTCAGGAAACTGAGGAAGAGAGATTGTTGCCTACTGTACAACTAACATCAAAATCTCCACATTGAGGCACTGGGGTGCTCAATCAGTTAAGTGTCTGCCTTTGGCTTAGGTTATGATCCTGGGGTCCTGGGATTGAGCCCTGCGTTGGGCTCCCTGTTCAGCCTGGAATCTGCTTTTTCCTCTCCCTCTGCTCCTCCCCCAACTCATGCACACGTGCGTGCGTGCACGCACACACACACACACACTCTCTCTCTCTCTCAAATAAATAAATATACATATATATATAGTTAAAGATTTTATTTGTTTATTTGACAGAGATCACAAGTAGACAGAGAGACAGACAGAGAGAGGAGGAAGCAGGCTCCCCGATGAGCAGAGAGCTAGATGCGGGGCTTGATCCAGGACTCTGGGATGATGACCTGAGCCGAAGGCAGAGGCTTTAACCCACTGAGCCACCCAGGCACCCTAATAAAATATATTTTTTAAAAAGTGCCACATTGTACTTTTTAAATAAAAAGTATTAAGTTTGAGTTCCAGTAATAGCAGAACAACTCATGTCATACTAGCCCTCTAATATGTAACTATGATAAACCTTAGACAAGCTATTTTTTGGGAAATCCTATTTAAAAGCTTTAGAGAGTAACCAAAAGTATGCAGACATGAGAAGGAAATTAATCCTTTAAAAAGAGGTGGATGGTATCCTTGTTTCTACTTTTTTTTTAATTTGTTTGATGGCAATCCTCAGATCACACTGTGATAGACATCTAGAATATAATGGAAAGCCACAATTTTGTTTTCTTGAGAAGTTAGAGGACTTGTCTGCATGGCTGGATATTTTTAATGGGGTTGTATGACACCAGATATGCATATAAACCTTGCTCATATCAGTACATGTCCCTTTAATTGTCAAGTGTGGGAGAGACTCTAAGAAAAACATGGGTTAGCAATAGCTAGATGGCTCTAGAAAGTACTGAAATGAGATTTTAGGAGCTGTCTCAAAATAAAAGAGAATTTGAAGATTAATCTAGTCCTGTTAACCTACTAACAGAGGTAAAACTAACATTCAGCAGCGGAATTTAACAGAATCCAGAAAACCTGTTACCAATGTCTTTCATACATTCAAAAGCTACTAAAATTGATGAAAAAAAGAAAAATGAGACCCATAGTCAAGACAAAAAGCAGTCAATGTAAAGCAGTCACTCTAAAGTGACCAGATGTTAGAATTAGCAGAAAAGGACTTTAAAGCGGCTTTTGTAAATATGTTCAAGGGCTAAACAAAGAATATGGCCATAATGATTGAATAGATGTGTAATGTTAATGGAGCCGTGGAAATTGTAAAAGACAACCAGATGAAAATACTGTAATGAACAAGTAAATCCAAAATTTGTAAAAACGCACTGAGGGTATTAGATGGGCTTAACAACAGATTGAAGATGGCAGAGGAAAGGGTCAGTGAACTTGAAGATAGAGCAATGACAAGTTTTCAGTCTGAAGTAACAGAAATGGTCAGTGACCTATAGGATGATATCAAGGGATAAATAAATATGTAGTTAGAATTCCAGAACAAGAAAAGATACTAGGATGGAAAAAAAACATAAAAAATAATGGCTGCAAATTTCCCAAATGTAACAAAAATGTCTATTTTTAGGTTTAAGAAACTCAGCAAATCCAAGCAAGATCAATCCAAAAGAAACCACCCCTAGGCACATCACAGTCGAATGGCTGAAAAACAAAGGCAAATAGAAAATTTTGAAAGTATCTAGAGAAAAATATCACTTCTGATCAAAAACTATGGGAACTGAAGACCCTGGAATAATACCTTTAAAGCTCTGGAAGAGAGAAAAAAAAATATGTCCATCTTGAAATCTCACATGCACAAAATATTCTTCAATAATTAAGGTCAAGTAAAGATATTTCCAGATAAATAAAAATTGAGATAATTTGTTTTAACTTCTTTAGACCAGAGGGCATTGATACCATAAGAGATTGCAGATCTATAGGAGACAAAGAGGTGTACCAGAAAGGCTATACTTTGGTAAATATAAAAGACAATATATATTTCTTTCTTTTAAATTATTTAAAGCTAAATGATTGCTTAAAACAAATATTATAACATTATTGTGACATTTATAATGTATGGTAGATGTAAAAATATATAACAATAGTGCATAAGATAGGATGTGATAATTGGAAGTATATTGATGTATCATTATAAGTTTCTTAGATTTCATATATGAAATAGTACAATATTAACTCTAAGTAAACTATGATAAGGTTGAATATTGTTAACTATTAGAGCAATTACTAAGAAAAAGAGATTGCCCAAAAGTACAAATAAGGAAGAAATTGAGTATCTCAATAGCTCTATTTCTTTCAGAGGAATTACATTTATTATCAACAAACTTCCATAATAAGAAAACTCTATGCCAGATACTTCTATGTTGGTGACTTCTAGCAAATATTTAAGAAACATGCTAAGAAAAGCATGGGTTAGCAATAGCTAGATGGCTCTAAAAAGAACAGAACTGAAAACTGAGAACTGTGCCAATTCTACAGAAATTACTCTGGAAAATAGAGTAGAAACAGACTCTATCCAACTTATTTTATGAAGTTAGCTCAACTCTTGTACCAAAAGCTGGCAAAAATATCACAGAAAAGAAATTTACAGATAAATGTCCCCCTAGAATGTATATCTAAATTTCCTCAAGAAAATATTAACACATTGATGTTACTACTATGAGAAAGTAGGTCACATCCCAGGAAATCCAGGCAGGTTCAGCAATCAAATATGAATCATACAATTCACCATATTACCAGAACAAAAGTCATACATAATCTGATTATCTTAAGTAATGCAGATAGACATTTGACAAAATTCAACATCCACCTATAATAAAAACTCTCAGCAATTAATAGAAGAACATTACCTCAACCAGATAAAGGAAATTTACAGAGTCTAGAGTTACTATCATATTTAATGGTGAAATTGTGAACATTTCTCCCGTTGATAAGGACAAAACCGGAATAACCACTTTCACCACTTTTATTTATTAGAGTACTAGAGGTTCTAGCCAGGGCGTAAGGCAAGAAGAAAAAGTAAACAAGAAGACACCCAGTTTGAAAAGGAAGAAAAAACCTTTCTTTGCAGACAGCATTATATAGATTCTCCAACACAATTACAGGAACTAGTAGGGTGAATTCTTCAGGGTCAGAATATAAAAGACAATTATATTTCTATAAGCTAGTATCAAACAATTAGAAAATAAATTTTAAAAACAACAACTCCACTTATGATAACAATAAACATAAAATGCTTAGAGATAAAATTAATAAAGGATGTTCAAGACCTTTGCAATGGACATTATAAAACATTCCTCAGAGCTATTAAAGGAGATCTAAATAAATGGAGTGGCATATTCGTGGATTAGCAAATTTAGTAGTGAGAAGATAGCAAATTCCCCCAATGTAACATATATAATATTAATCAAAATCTCAGCAGGATTTAAAAGAAAAAAAAAACAAGCTGATTTTAAAATTTATGTGGAGATATAAAGAGCTCAGAATACTCAAAACAACATTGAAAAAGTGGAGCAAATATGGAAGATTCAGAGTAGATGATTTCAAATTTACTATAAAACTATCATAATCAGGCCATTTTAGACCTGGCATAAGACTAGATAAATTGGGGCACATGGATAGCTCAGTCTTTTCAGTGTCTGCCTTTGGCTCTGGTCATGATCCCAGGGTCCTGAGATCAAGCCCCGTACTGGGTTCCCTGCTCAGTTGGAAGTCTGTCTCTCTCCCTCTTCACCTACCCCCTGCTCATGTGCACACTCTATCTGTCTCTCTCAAAGATAAATAAATAAAATGTTAAAAAAAAGAATCAATAAGTTGATCAACAGAAAGTGTAGAGTTCAGAAATAGACTTGCACATAGAAGTTTAATTGATTTTCAATACAAGTGCCTTATCAATTTAATGGGAAATAGAAAATCTTTTCAACAGACTGTCCTGAAACAACTGAATAAATATATGGAAGACATGAACCCTAATCTCATGAAAAATTAATTGGATATGAATTATAGACCTCAATTTAAAGTTCAAACTATAAACTATCTAGGAGAAAACATAAGAAAATATCTTTCTGACTTTGAGAGTGAACAAAAATAGTATTGACACACACAAAAATTAAACATAAAAGAGAAAAAAAAGACATATTGGACTTTCATAAAAATGAAAGCTTCTTCCTCATTGAAATACACCATTAAGAAAATGAAATGACAAGTTACACACTGGCAGAAAATAGTTGTAATCCATATATCTGACAAAGGAATTATATCCAGAACATAAAAGAATTCATACCCATCAACAATAAAAGGATAAATAACTCAGTAAAAAAGACAAA